TTTTTTCCTTTGTGTCAAACATACAATTATTCAGTCCATCCCTTACATCCCTAAAAGTTGTATGCAATTCTGTTGAAAACAACAGAAAAAGCACTTTTAAATTCTTTAGGAACAGTCCTGAGTTTATGCTGCTTACCTCCCATGGTACATCCTACAACCATTGACACAATGAACCTGACATTTAAGTAGCACATTTCACTTGAAGCAAAGCATTTCCGAAATTAATTAAGCTCTGGCCAGGAAGTGGGATTATGCTTTATCCAGGAAGAAAAATAACCCATCCAAGTCCTGGCAGTAAATTGACTGCTGAACTAAAACATCAGACAGAGATTGCTTTGTATAGTTGTGTTTATAACAGAGTATAGTTGTACTCTGGTGCTGTTAAGAAGTTGAACTCAAACTTGCTATATTTACTGTATGCATTGCTTAGGGGAGATCACAGGATCAGTCAGGCTGAAAAGGACCTCTGAGGTCATTAAGTCCAGCCTGTGACCAAACACAACCTTGTCATTAGACCAGGGTTTTAACTGTGCCGCATCCAGTCTTGAACACCTCCAGGGACAGTGACTCCACCATCTCCCAGGGCAGCCAATTCAAATGTCTAATTCTTCCTAATTTCCAGCCTAAACCTCCCCTGGCACAGCCTAAGACTATAAATGTTCATTTCCAGTTAAAAACAGACAGGATTCAGTTTCATTAGATCACAATGGATACCCCAGTAGCCATTCCACACAGCTAGGGCTTAACTTTGGGGTTTTCTTTCAAGACGGAGCGTTTCATCACAACAAAAACAGCCGGTCTCACCTGCACCAGGAGGGCATCCTGGTCCAGCTCGCTGCCCCTGAGGTCGGCAAGGCTGGACAGGGCCACCTTGATGTCCAGCTCGACGCCCACCTCCACGGCCAGCCCCTTCTGCTTCTCGGCGGCGATGAAGGCGCCCAGCAGCCGCGCGTAGTCCCGGAGGCGGCAGCGGCGGAAGCGGTACAGGGGGGTCACGCTGTACAGCGTCCAGGCTTTGCGCAGCAGGAACGCCGTTTTCTGCGGGTCCGCCTTCTCCTAGGGGGACACGAAAAGAAAAGGAACGAGGTTAAGGTTTGCTTTTCCCGCGCGGCGCAGCGCGGCGCGCCTGAGGGGACACGGAGGGGACAGGGAGGCGCCGCCGCCCGCGCCTCCCCGTACCTGAGAGCACAGCGCTGGCACGATGTGGCGGCCGCTGGAGCTGACGCCGAGGCGGCCGTGGCTCCGTCCGAAGGGCAGAGCCCGGGAGAGCCGCCGGAGGCTGGGCAGGGTCCGCACCGCGCCGTCCTCCGGCGCCTCCTCCGCCATGGCGGCCGCGGCCCGCCGGCGCCGTTCGAACTCCTTCCCGTCGGCCCCCGCGCGGGGCGCGCCCCCTCCGCCATCTTTGAGGCGGGCGGCAGTGAGGGCGGGAAGCGGCCGCGGGTTGTTTCCCCTTTTTCTCTTGTCCCTTTTTCCTTTTCCCCTCCGGAACTCTCGGTTTTCACTCCGCGAAGGTCCCCGGCGCTCATCCCCGTGTTTCGGGCTGAGGGGATGGCGCTGCCCCGGCTGCTAGTGCGAGCGCTGCACCGGGCGGCCGCTGCCGCCGCGGCTCCAGGTGAGGAGCCGCGCTGGTCCCATCCCCTCGAGGTTTGGGTTCCTTTTTTTACAGGTCAGGGTAGTCCACACAGTCGATTAATATCACTCTTTCTGCTGGTTATTTTCCCTATATCGCTTTATTAAGCGTCTTGTCTCAATCTCTTAAAATTCTAAAGGCTGTCATGAAGGTAGCGAGATTGGCTCTGGAAGTTATTTATACATTTCCAGGTCACGGCATCCTTCAAGCTTCTTCTTGCAAGCTGCGCCTCTTGCACGTTCTGTAAATGGTGTGCTTGGTTCTGTGAGTGGGCCATGACTGCAGGCACACAGGGGGCTGTGCAAACCTTTCTGTAACCGTGGCTCAGGCCTTCTTCCAGTTGTTTCAGGCAGAAACTCTTCAATTTACACCTGCATGGTGTAAACTGAACGCTCCTCCGCGGGTGTTGAATTCTTGGTTTGTTAAGCTCTGCTGTGTCACCACCAGGAACTGCAGTGGCAGGACAAGGGGGAATAGCTTTGAACTGAAGGAGGGCAGGTTTGGGTTGGATATTAGAAGAAATTCTTCCCTGTGAGAGTGGTGAGGTCCTGGCACAGTTGCTAAGAGGAGCTGTGGCTGCCACATCTCTGGAAGTGTCCAAGCCCAGGCTGGATGGGGCTCTGAACAACCTGGGACAGTGGAAAGTGTCCCTGCCCATGGCAGTGGGGTGGAATGAGATGACCTTTAAGGTCCTTGAAACCCAGACTGTTCTGTGATTCTAGATTTAAATGTGGATTTGTCAGCGTCCCTCAGGATTGATCTATGACTTTTGCTTCTCTTGCTCCTGAAATTTACAGGGCAGCAGGTTGCAGCAAGGCTATGTTAAAGTATCTTTGTAAAAGCTTAACTGAGAAACAAATAATCCCTATTTAAAATACATGACTAGCTTCATTTCATGTTTGTGTTATAGTATCGTAGTGCAGATTTATATAGGAAGTAACTTTTCCATGTATATATATAAATTTTATTGGGAGGGAAAGCTCTATTATTTATTCTGTCTCACCTGCAAAAGCCTTGAGAGATTTTTTATATATTTATTTATTTCTATTTAAGATTTCAACAGTTTTGTCACTCGGACCAACACATGTGGAGAGCTGCGTGCTGCTCATGTGGGACAGAAAGTAACCCTGTATGGATGGATTCAGTATCAAAGGTAAGTGCAAACCATGGTGAAAATGGAGATGATTATTTGCCAGAACCAGTCTAAGCTGTGTTTCATCCAACATTGCTCTCCAGTGATGGTCTGCATGGGTTTTTTGATTTTAGGAGGTCATGAGTGTCTCATCTTTGAGCAGTTATGGATGGGGACCCAGGAAAAGGAGTTAGGATTATTGCAATGTGGTTGTGGTGATCTTGTTTTTAAAGACCTCAGAGCATGTCCCATTGGGCAGTTTTTTGATGGATAAAGCACAATGGCAGCTGTCCCTGCTGCAGTTTGAAGAAATCAAGATTTGTGGTTCTGAGTCTGGCAGTGTGGATTGTTCATGTGGAACTTTTTATGGGATGAGTGTTCCCCTTCTTGACTTATGATTGGATTTGGTTGTTGTTGTTTTTATTCCACGTGAATTTTAGTTTTATTGCTCATTTAATTGTTTTTAGTTGAGTGATGTTTCCCAGCAGGAGAATTCACATGTCCAGAATCCCAGCTCTCCGTGCATGAAAGCTCAAGTTAAAATCCTGCCTCACCTGGTTATTTGTGTGTTGTCTGAGGCTGATCACAATATGAAATAAATTGTTCAGGTGAAGTTCAGGTGTGGGAAAAGTGTCTATAATTCAGTACTTGGAAGTGCTTTGGGATGAATTGCAGGGTACTGAAAGTGTAGCTAGTTGCCATATGCTTTAAAAAGTAGAAACTACTAAATTTGTGAAAAAAAAAAATGTTCTTCCATTTTTGCTTTTCATGCATCAGACAAGGCCTGTTTCTGGTTTTGAGGGACTTCCAGGGACTGACCCAAGTCGTTATTCCTCAGGATGAGGTAAGTGCTACCAAAACATGTGTCTGTTTTTATTTTTCCTTTGGTAGCTTGGCTTCAGCAGCCACTCTGTCAGACTGGGTCCTCTGACTCACAAGTAGATTGAGGTGTCATGAGAGCCCTGACCTGATGCTGCAACAGAAACATCAGTGCTGTTTCCCCTGCCTTAAGAGTGATTTTGGATTGAGGTGCTTGGCCACAGTGCCTTTGTCCTGTTCTTTGAATTCCTGTGAGGCTCTGTGCTCTCCCTGCAGGCACATTCCCACATGAAGGAGCTGCTGTCCAACGCCCCGGTGGAGTCTGTGGTGAGAGTCACTGGGACAGTGTCCCCTCGGCCCCTGGGGCAGGAGAACCCGGTGAGGATGGGGTCAGGGGATGCTCTTAGGGCTTTTATTCCCTGAAGGAAACAACCCTGGGTGGTGGGATTATGGTGGGCTTTGTGTCAGAGCATTGCCACGGGCTCTGCCTGTGTGACAGCCCATCTTCAGATAGTGTGAGGTGAAATAAGTGTTGTGTCAGGTAACAGAGAATCTCAGAGCACATTACAGACACAAATTAAACTGGATTCCAGCCCTTGGCAAGGATAATACTGGCTTTTCCAGGCTTTCAGAGTGTGGTGGGAATTTCTTTTGCTTGAAAATAAATATTGTGTCGAGTTCCACCTATTTATTGACTTTGCTGGTCTCCTTGTATAGGAAACAGAGGTTGAATAATTTTTTAATGTTCTGCATTCCTCAGCTGTCATTGTAATCAGCTATAGACTGAACTGTCAGGATTGTACATATAACTGGCAGGTCTAAAAAGAGGACTATATTTATGATCATAACTCCTTTTTGCTCCATCTCATAGATGTCCACTTAAAATCCAGGCTTCCAACAATGCTTTTATTTCTTTTATTAATTTCTTCTTTTGTGGGAAGGTTGTGTGTCCTTTCCGCTGGTAAATAGTGAGAGTTCTGCAGGATAAGTGAAATTTGCTGTGCCTCAGTGCTGTGTGAGGGGAGCTGCCTGCCCTCCCCTGGGATAGAGTCAAAAGAAGACCAGTTCTGAGAACTGGTGTTTAGAACTGGAAGTTCTGAGAAGTTCCTCATCATTTACCTTTTTTGACTCATGTTAAGGGCTGCTGCTGCTCATGCTCACTGAAACCTACAGTGTGGTTTTGCTGCAGCTATTGTGTTTATTGACCAGTATGCTACTGGGAAAGAAGCTGCCACCTTTGGTGAGGTGACTTGTGTGTCTCTGAACAGAAGGGAAACCTGGAAGAAATCTGTCCTTGGGAGAAGCTCTCTGACTTTTACACTGTTAGAAGGGAGGGAGGGTAATCACATTGCTTCCTTTTTTCTCTTTGAGCATCTGTGAAATACCTTTGTCCAGCTGTTATAAATTTTTTTGGCTTTTTGTTCTAGAAAATGCCAACAGGGGAAATTGAAGTGAAGGCAGAGACTGCAGAGATCTTAAACTCCTGCAAGAAGCTGCCATTTGAAATCAAGGATTTTATCAAGGTGATTGTGTTTTTCTTTCCTTTTTCTTACCAGAGTGGTGACTTTTCACTAGATTGGGAATTTGCCCAGGATGATGGCAAAACATCTGAGAGCTGAGTCTGGTTCTCCCCACTCCACTTGGGAGGAATGATGGTGTTTAAAACAGAGGTGCTGCTTATTTGCTGAGAGGATTTATCTCCAATTACAGCTAAGCAGAAAACAGGGCTTGAATGATTCCTGATTTCTGGAAGCACTGATGCCAAAGGAAAAAGTGAAAGAAATGGTGCTGTGCTGGATTTCTTGAGTGTGAAATGAGGCTGTTTCATTTGACTCACGGAATCACAGAATGGTTTGGGTTGGAAGGAACCTTAAAAAAAATCCAAATCCCCTGCCATGGGTAGGGATGGCACCAGGTTGTTCAGAGTTTCATCCAACCTGGCCTTGAGCACTTCCAGGGATGGGGCAGCCACAACTTTTGTAGGCAGTTTGGGTTTTTTGTTTCAAGCCATTGCCGTATTTCTGTAGGCTTTGCGTAACAGGCACATTGCAGCAACCATCCCTTTATTCAGCTTTTCCTTTTTCTCTGTAGCTTTAGGAGCACCTTCAGTGGACGTGCAATTTGAATTTTGTCTCTTAACCCTCTCTCCTGCCCAGAAGTCAGAGGCCCTGCGGATGCAATATCGGTACCTGGACCTGCGCAGCTCCCGGCTGCAGAACGCGCTGCGGCTGCGCTCTCGCGTGGTGATGAGGATGCGCGAGTACCTCTGCAACCTCCACGGTGAGGGAGCTGCTTGGAGCAGCAATCATTCCAGCTCTCCCTGCTGCCTCTTCCTTGTGCTGGCAGAGATTCCTAAGCAAGTTGTTACCCCAAACTGGTCCCACTTAATATGGACACGTCTGCTTGTAGTGAGGTCTTTAGTGGGATGTTGTCAGGCCTGAGGAGGATGCCCACAAAAATTGTGGCTGCTCCATCCCTGGAAGTGTTCAAAGCCAGATTGGATGAAGCTCTGAGCAACCTGTTTCAAATTAGCTGTTTCCAGTGAGAAAAGAGTCTTTGCAGGTAGTTGCCCTCTTTTGGTCACCCAGTTGAGGCATGTCAGATGCATGGATTTTGTTCAGGGCTTTTGCTTCTCTTAGAATCAGGAAGTGCTTTTTGGAAAATCAGTGCCTGGTTCAGAATAGATAGAGAATTGACACATTTTCAGCTTGTTTGAAGTCCTCTGTCATCAACAGTTCTGGCAGGACATCAGAGTAGCTCAGAGCCTTTAGATCTGTCATTACAGGAATAATTATTAGAAGTAGCAAAGTGTGTTGATTTTGGAGAGGCTCCATGGTGTGTTAGATGACCTCTTTTACTGACTAACCCTACTCTAGCCTACTCTGTCATGTCAGTTCTTCCTCCTCTCAGCATATTCTGTGTTTGTTCTCCAGGGTTCGTGGATGTAGAAACTCCAACTCTGTTTAAAAGAACCCCAGGGGTATGTATGTGATGCTTTTTGGCCTCCTACAGCTGCACAGTCAGGGCTGAATCATTTCCAGCTGCTACTCAGCCTTCATTGCTTTTCCCTTGCTAAATAATAGCTTGTGGATCTTCTGATATCATCCACAGATCCTATGAAAAGTAGAGGGAGAGAAAGGGGAGAGGTAATAATTCATGTCATAATTTTGAACCTCCAAACAACATAAGCTTCTGCCTTGTAGAGCACATGTTGAATCCAAGTCTACCCTGGGATTATAAACCCAAAAACCTTTCAAGCACTGTTTTTTCAGCATTTATCTCTTCAGTAGGTTATTGTAGAGGTCATACTCAAGTAAATTTAATTTCTGATCTTCTATTCCTTTCTTTCATTTCAAAAATAGCCAGAGAGAAGAGAGCTGTAGCTGAGGAATTGTTGATTTAGCTACTCTGGAGTTCTTGCATTTAAACCCCAGTCTTGGTTGGTCTATTATGCATTAGTCTCTCAGAGAATAAGGTGCAGAATTCTCCTTTCAGATATTTTGAACCAAGTTGGTTAACAAATGTGAAGTGTAATGTACAAACAGCCATTTCCTCACATGTGGGATTTTATAATGTGAAAAATAGGTCCTTTCCTCTTGCACTTCTAGTGTTTGCTCTGTCAGGAACTGGGGCCACTTACTTGTTGAACTCTGTACATTTCTTTCTGATGCCAGGGAGCCAAAGAATTCCTTGTGCCCTCAAGGGAAGCGGGCAAGTTCTACTCTCTGCCACAGAGCCCTCAGCAGTTCAAGCAGCTCCTCATGGTTGGAGGCCTGGACAGGTAAGAGTTTCTTGGCCTCCTGTTTTCTGCATGTCCTGTCTAGGGTTTGACTGCTTTATCTGTGAAGTTTAGAAACTTCCCTAAAAAAAATTACTGCCAAGGATTTGTGTCTTGAAGAGGGATCCTGAAATACTTAGGGCTTTACAGTCAGATGAAATGTATCTTTCTGGAAAGCTGAAATCTTTGCTGCTGTGTTAAATGCAAACCTGATCTGAAGCAGAGTCTTCCTGAAGGGCAGAAAATCTAATGTGTGATGAAAGCTGCTCCAGGAGTAACCTGCAGAACTAATTGAGGTGAGGCTGGGCAGCTGAGCATGACTGAGACAAGGAAAAGCATGTCAGGGTGCCCAAGTGCAAAGCTTTTAATTGGGCTTACTTCTCCTAATCAGATGGATGGACAGGGAGACAATTGTTCACACAGTGAACTGCAGGCCAGGTCTTATCTGAGAGTTTTGCACGGCTGTTAGGAGCATCCTGGAGTGGAGTGGAAGGTGGAATAAAGAGTTGAGTGTGCTGCCCTTGGAGGACAGCTCACCTGGCAGTCTCCATGTGCCTCTGGAAGATATGGCTGGAGATGGATGCAGCTGCTGATAGAGTTGCTGCCACTCAAAATTCCATTTTTTTGAAGAGATGAGAACAAGGATCATCTCCTGTGGGAACAGAGCACTCTCTCTCTGATTTACTTATTTTGTCCTTCTCTTTTGTATGATCAATTCTATAGCCACAGTTGAATTCAGGATACTTTAAATCATTATCTAAGTCAAAGTGTCACTGCAGGTACTTCCAGGTCGCTCGCTGCTACAGGGATGAGGGTTCACGGCCTGACAGGCAGCCAGAATTCACCCAGGTAACCAGTCTCTGCTGCCTTGCTCCCTGCTCCTCAACCCAAGTGGCTCAGAGCTCTTTTCCCTTCCTGAGGCTTAGTCTGTGCTAGTCTGGTGCTGCCTGGGGGGATACAGAGTTGTTTGGTGTGTGCTTCACAGACACAGCCCTTGGAAATTGCTGTGAGATGAGTGTGGGGTTCCTGTCCTTGGCTGGCTGCAGTGCCCCAGGTGCAGATGTGGGAATTGCATTGCAGCAGTGATTTTAATTTTAATCTCCTCCTGTCCTGCTACGTCTGACATCCCATTCCCCAGCCTTGAAATCCCAGGCTGAGTTAGCCTGGTTCACTCAAGGCTGTTTCTGTGTCCTTGTCATCCTTACCTCATTCACTCTCTGAGGAGGTTATTGCCTGAGTCATCAGCCTGGAGGGTGATCCTAAGCACATTCCTGGCCTAATGCAGTCATGCTGTGATGTCATTTTGTGTATTGTTTCTTGTTTTGCTGTGTACTCACAAGTAGCACTGTGAAAGCACAACCTTTAGCTAATGTGGAATTCCCCTCCTCTTCTCTGTTTTAAGATAGATATAGAGATGTCGTTTGTAGATCAAGCTGGGATCCAGAGGCTCATAGAGGGCCTCCTGCAACATTCCTGGCCTGAGGAAAGAGGCTGCATTATGACTCCTTTCCCTTCCATGACATATGAGGAGGCACTGGCTGAGTATGGGACTGATAAACCAGACACTCGCTTTGGGATGAAGGTGAGGGTTTGTCCATTAGAGATTTGCAGCTTTTCCTTTCAGTCAGTGTTTTAATAACCTTTGGATCATGGATACACGGTTGGCTGGAGTTTTGAGTGCTGTAATTTACCCAAGGTGCCTGTCCCATTGTTGCTGCTTTGTGCAGTCTGCTGAAGAAGAGAGGATTTAATCAGTTGACTGTGAAAAATATATGCTGTAATAAAAGTTTAAAATAATGGTGATGTAGTGCTAGGGAGCAATGTATCTTGACTGTTTAAGGAGCAAAAGCTTCTAAAAGGGAATAGTGTGGAAGGTGGAGGAGTTTTTGCTTTGTATTCCTACCAGCAGTGATTTTTCCCGTGCTCTCTCCTTTGTCAGATCATGGATATCAGTGATGTTTTACGAGGATCAAACATTCAGTTTTTGCAGAATGCCCTCAGTTACCCACGTGGTTCCATCAGAGCCATTTGTATTCCTCAGGGAGTGGTAAGTGAAGCTCTTACATCTTGTTTATGGTTTATGTGGAATAAATAAACTGCCAGTTTGAATTCCTTTGTTCCTTGCTATTACTGGTATTCTTAAGGGAGTTTGGGATTGGTTGTAATCCATGTCAGGTTGGGCTGAGTGGTGTTAGAATGATAAGGCAACAGGAAGAGTATTTTAGCCTTAGGAAGAGGAGGAAAACAATAAAGCTGCAAGATCCCATGAGGATAGAGAACCCTCTTGGGGTTTCACCTTGCTTTCTATCACCTTTTTGATGTGCATCTCAATAATAAATTATGCCTTGTGACAGGAGATTGAAACAGGGCTGGGCACAGCACAGCTCTGGGCTAGGCAGAAAAGGGTCAGGTGGTTCCACGTCCTCCTCCTGTTTGCTTTAGCTGCATTTTTGGGTACAATTTGTGTATTGTAATGAGAATGTCATGGACCAAATCCAAGGCTGACAATAGATGTGGAAGACCTTTGACACAGCCCTGCATTTTGGCAAGGAAATAGATTTAATTCTGGCTATAGGCATCTTTGTAGCTTGGACAGTATGGAAAAAACAAGTCCTCTAAATATTGAGTTTTATCTGGGGAGCAGGGCTCTGTGGCCATGATTTCCCTTAGGATTCCTTTCATTTTGGCACCAAGTGCAAGTTAGTGGCTTCCCACAAGAGGGCACAGATGTGTTTGTTTGAGCAACACAAAAGTGGCATCTAGACCCACCCTAAACACTGGAGTAGCTGAAAAAAACTAAGATCTTGATGCAGGTCCTCATTTACTTCATGGCTTTGCATGCAAGAATCAGCCCAGTTGTTTTTTCGCTGTTCTTCCTCCAGTTTGAGTTCTGCATTCCCCATCCACAGTGTGGTGGTGTAACCTTGTTTCTGCAGGCTGGAGGCAGAGTGAGCTGATCCTGCTGACCAGATATATTTATTTGTGAGGTGGGGGGAAAATATAGGTCTGGATGGGTCTCTTCCTAAAAGGAGCCCACAGAGCAAACACCCAGCCCAGTGCTAATGACCCCATCCTCTTCCACAGCCTGAACTAGAAACAAAAGAATTGGGAAGTTTGGAGCCAGCTTAGTCAGTAGATTTGATACCTAGTCAAGTTATCCAAGCTGATCTTTGCTGTGTCTTCTCTTGCTGTTTCCCCAGAGATATCTTACAAATAAAGACTTGGAGTCATTGAAGGAGTCTGCAAAATCCCAGTTTAACCAGGTGAGAGAGAAACTCTTCTGAGGCTTTGGGAAGGGTGAGTGATAAAGGCAGAGGGAGGTAGGAGAGCAGTTTTTATAGCTGAGAGTCAGAACCTGAGCATGTAATGCTTCAAGGCAAGAGAGGGCAGCACTGCACTGAACACAGCCTTACCTTTCTCCAGGAAATCATGGAAATTATCCACAGACCTGATGGAAGCTTGAAATCCCTGCTTACCAAGTTCCTTGGTGAGAAGGAGCAGTCAGAGCTCATCCAAGCACTGAACATGCAGGAGGGTGATGTGGTGCTGCTGGCAGCTGGAGAACACAAGCAAGTGGTAGGAGGCATTTCTTGGGTGGCTCTCTGAATTGAATGTTGCTGATGATGGTTTTGATGTTATCTGACCTTAGTCTGATTCTTCTTATTATTAAAATAGGTCATCATCTAATTTTCTGTTTCTCTGGAACGGCAGCTATAGCAACAGCAGATAAAGCATGAAATGTGCCTATTACTTTATGGCCCCCAGTCAAATTCTGGGCAGGATTTGTAACTGAAATGAAGGCTGAAATATAAAAAACCCTGCAACAAATCAGTGCCTTCTTTTCTTTTAACTTCATTTTTAAAGCATCATACAGATTGGAAAATGAGGTCAACTAGGTAATTGTGTCTCCCATAAGTGCATGACTTATTAGCAGCAATGGTGGGAGATTCTATTCCTACCCTTTTCTCTATTCTATTCAGCAGATGTTGCTGGCAAGAATAAAGAGAAATAAAACAAAGCATTGTTTTATGATAAGGTGTCATGCTTTGCTCAGTAGCCAACATTTTGTTGGATTCTCTTCTGTGCCTTCATTTTTCTGCAAAGTGTGGATCTTACATGTGATCCCCAAGTTAATCCACATATGTGGAGCTGGAGATTAGTCTAAGAAAGTTCTGAGGATGAAATAGCTGGAAAAACATGGACTTCCAAGCTCCTTACTTGGTCTCTGTCAAACCTGGTGCTGCTGCTGCCTCAGCAGGAAGATTATATATTTCAGGATATGAGGCTAGAATGTTCAAGGCAGCAATGCATTCCAGCTGATGCTGTCTGTGGTACTTTATGGAACACTCTTTGCCTGGTGGGTGTTTGAGTTTCCCTGATGGTGAAATCACCCTGTCTCATCTCTCCCTTCTCTGTTGCAGTGCTCTGCATTAGGAGCCTTGCGGTTGTTGAGTGCCAACCTCCTGGAGGCAGCTGGGCTGGCACTCCGTGATCCCACAGCCTTTCACTTCCTCTGGGTGGTGGATTTCCCCCTTTTCCTTCCCAAAGCTGAGAATCCCACTGAACTGGAATCTGCTCATCACCCCTTCACTGCGCCTCATCCTTCAGATGTCAGCCTCTTGTATGCTGATCCCACAAAGGTAACCAACTTCCTGCCTGCCATGCTGGCTCTCTTACAGCTGCTCCCCTGGAAAACCAGGCAAGCAGCAGCTGGGTTTAGTGTAAAAAGAGATTCACGGGACTGACTGCACAAGGAAGATGTAGATATGTTGGAATGAGTCCAGAGGAGGCTGCTAAGATCATCAAAGGACTGGAGCACTTCTGCTATGAGGAAAGGCTGGAGAAGCTGAGGTTGTTCATCCTGGAGAAGAGAAGGCTCAGGAGCAACATTAAAGTCCTTTCCAGTGCCCAAAGAGGCTACAAGAGAGCCGAGAGGAATGTTTTGCAGGGGCAAGTAGTGATAGGACAAGGGGAAATGGTTTTAAACTGAAAGAGGGTAGACTTAGATTGGTATTGGGATAAAAATCTTCCCTGCGAGGTACTGGCACAGATTGCCAAGAGCAGGTGTGGCTGACCCAACCCTGTCAGTGTTGAAAGCCAGGCTGGACAGGGCTTGAGGCAACCTGGGATAGTGGAAGGTGTCCCTGCCCATGGCAGAGGGTTAGAGCTAGAGGATCTTTAAGGTTCCTCCCAACCCAAACCACTGTGTGATTCTATGATCTTGTATGTGTCTAGAAGATATGGCTTCCTGATTACTGCAAATAGCAAGTATTCATATGTGCCCCAGCAAAAGGAGCTGACAGGAAACAGAAATCTTATATTCTGACCCTTCTCATGTGCTTCAGGTTTGATGAATCTTCCAAAAGGATTTGTTTTCCTCCCACGTCCGTCAGAGGCACCCCATGCCTCCAGCAGGACTGGTACCTGAATTGCCATGTACCCCTGAAAGAGCAGTTTTACAGAGTTCTATGGCTTCATTCCCAGTGTCTGCAACATTTTCCATCTCTGTGCTGGTTGTTTTTAGGTGCAGCTGTGGCCCAGCCTCACCAAGGTGCCTGTCCCTGTCTCTCTGCAGGTCCGTAGCCAGCACTACGACCTTGTGCTGAATGGCAATGAGGTTGGAGGTGGCTCCATCAGAATTCACAGTGCAGAACAACAGCGTTTTGTGCTGGAGAAAGTGCTGAAGGTAACACCTACAGATGCCTCTAACGCTCTCTTGGAGGTTTCAAAGCACTGATTAATTGAAATATTAATTACATATTCTGAAAGAAACACTCACGTTCTTCTCAGATAAAACATAAGTTCTAGCCTTGAGCAATGGATGATTTCATTGTACCTTCATCTTGTGTTGCTAATAGGAAGAGCATTGCTTATCCTTTTAATATGATTTTGCAGGAGGACTCCGAGGTGCTTTCCCATCTGATTGAGGCTTTGGAATTTGGAGCTCCACCTCACGGAGGAATTGCTTTAGGTAAGTGATCTGTAGCTCTACTGATGCAGATCTTTAGTTTTTTTTTTTTTTTTGTTTGGGTTTTTTTTTTTTTTTTCTGTTTTGGTTTTGGTTTTTTTTTTGTCTTTGTTTTGTTGGTTTTTTTTT